TCACACGGAAGTGGTAAACAAGTCGTATGCGACAATTGTGCCTCCAGATTTTTTTTAGTTTTCTGTTAATATTTTATAAATAATTTTAGTTAAGTAAAACATATTTTTCTTGTAGACTCCCTTACTTTAATATATTTTGCATAGATAGAATCCACGATAAATTTGAGTCTTTTTGTTCATAAAATGCTTGTTTCACCAGGCTGTATTCGGGAAGGTTTTTAATTCGTGAATAGTATTTCAATAGATTACTTTTGATGTCAATTAATAATGGTAGTTCTCCTTCCTCGGTTCTACATGCTTAATTTGCAGTGAATATGCTCAGACTCAGTAGTTGATTATAAAATTTTAAGTGAATTTTTTTTTAGTTGGAGTTTTATCCTATTTGACATTAGTGAGAATTTTAGTACCTCAAATATCTGACCGGATTGGCTTTATGTGGGCCTTGAAGAGATGTGTATATGTTTTACAGTTAGGTTCTCTTGGTGTCGATTGTTTTAGTTTATATAGGACATGAGAAGTTTTAATTGCCAAGTTTATTCTTGTATCAGTAAAACGAAAATTCAAGTGAATCGTTACACCAAAGTAAAACTATGAATCAACATTATTTTGTCGTTGATAATAGAACAATTCTGTTGTTTTCAGTAGCACACAATTTGTTTTTGCCTCACTTTTAGTACAACTTTAACCAAATATTACTGACATTTGTCAGATGTTTAGGAATGTTTCGACATAACGTTTACTTTTTTTTCACAAAACTAACCAATGTTTACCTTAGTAGAGTGTCATGTGCAGCACTACATCTTCTGTTATCACCTTCTCAATTCAATTATCAATTATAAGTTTTTATGGTTTAAATGTTGAGATCTCCCTCAGAATGATCAAAATTTGGAGAGTTAAGTACAGCTGGTAAATGGTGTAAACTGTTTTTACTGTCCTTCATGATACGAGCACGCGCCTCCCGCGGTGTGCCTGTCTGCCATCTATATACAGAAGATGATATTGTGACGTCACCTGCCTGTCAAAATTGTACGTACCGGTAATCCGCATGCCGAGTGCTGATTCGACGGCGTATTTTCACAATCGATGTACCAACTGTATCATTAGCTACGTCATATGAATGATGTATACTTAGTAATTGACATCCTAACTCGATCACGCACAGGTTTGAATGGACAGCCATGGATGTTTGGTTTCAGAGAAACATGCAAATAGAACAATGATATACTGTATACTAGTAATGCTCAATGAAACAAGTTTTGATTATAATACACAAGCAGTTATTTTTTTAATAAAAATCTGTATAATATACAGTGTATAGAAAGATATATGGAGATGTAATTTACACATTATAATTATTTATATCCCATATAAACATAATAGACAAAGTCAATAATTATGAATTAAAACACTGACAAACAATACAGTAATTGTTGTTAATGTACATACATCACAAAGTAACAAGTCATTAAGAATGACACAGCACTAAAATGTTCGCTATTCAGCCATCTTGAATTGGATCATGAAACATATGTATGTGCATATAAATCATGTGTGATGCATGTATAAATTTAGTTTGAATGTGAACAGTCAATGCATGCCTGAGATAGAACAGCATTCATTAAAATGAAATGGTTGTCAATCGGCCATTTTAAATCCAATCTAAAAAGAAAGACATCAAAGCCTAATTATGTTCAATGGACATACAAACTTTGAATGCCTAAGCACAACTGAGATTCGATTCCAGAATGGCAGAAATGCAGAGTTTTGATTTGGTCATTCAGCAATTTTGAATTAGATAATGAAACAAAAACAAATGTGTATATGTATGATATGACGTGTGCGTCATAACCAGCCATAACTACTGTAAAACATGTCTTTTTTGCGAGCATGTCTTTTTCCTGAATTTAGCGAGAGAACTGATTCGCTAATTCAAGATGTTGCTAATGACTTTATTATCAATTCAAAATGACCGCCAAACAAAGAAATCAACAATGACAAGAGAGATTTGCTAAATCAACATTTCGCTATTACGTCATTTTACCACAATTCGCTAAAATTGCATGCCGCTTTTTCAACATGTTTTACAGTATCTATCTAACACATGAACTGATACTGTAAATTGCTTTAATTTCACAAAAGAAAAATGTACAAGAGTAAGTGAAAATCATGAAATTTTATAGCAGTGAACATTTTTCTGTGGGTCCTACAACACAGTGTTAGACTCTCAAAAATTTGTCTTCATGAATGCTGTAAAATCGTCAAATCATCAAAATTCCTAGTAAGGAAAATTAAACAGTTAGGCCAAAAAAGAATTGTTTTGTTGCCCTCAGCGACCGACCGAAAAATATGAAAATATCGGGTTGCTGTTTTTTTGTTTTTTTTCTTTAATATGCCCAAATAAAAACTCACCATTTTAAGCAGTAAAAAAGTGTTTCCTCTAAAAATTAACGATCCCGGACCGTTGTTTGATCCCCAGGATCCCCGGGGGGATAAATGATGACTTTGAAACCCGGGTTGATTTGTATTTCTCTGACATGTTCCGAATACTATGTAGTCTGAAGAACAAACATTGATGTCTTTTGCATTTTAGGCCATTTTGACATTTGCGATTCGACGGATAGTTGGTGCACAATATTAAAAATATCGCCGCACCAAGCATTTTCTTAATTAAATTAAAACATTATTTTGAATCAAAAACAATACGTTTGTTGTAGTAAATATAATTTTTAATACTTGAAATGCACAAAATTTTATTGAATTTACAAAACATGACATTTTATATTAAAACTCTCATCCGTTTACATCACAAACAAAACAACGGCTTTTGCATGTTGTTTTATCGCTGTCAGTATTCTCACTTCCGAGTTTGTCATCGAACATGGCAAACACGTTTGCTGTGTGCATGACAGCAAAAGCTGGATCAACTATTAAATTTAGCAAAGTCACGTCGCTTGAAAAAAAAAATCTGACCGACTGACCCAAATTTTCAATTTACCGACTTGAGGGCAACATAAGTTTTTTTTTTTTGGCCTTAAAGCACCAGTCAGCAATTTTTTTGCAAACAATATTCGTAGCATTGGACCCATATTGAATGTGGCACGACACGACAAATTTCCATGTAAATAATGTTTTGTACACACATTGCACGAGTCGCATGGTATCCATATTAAACACACTTTTAACACATCAGTGGCTGATTGTATGTTTAGACAATATTGAGATATGAGGAAATAGAATATTTAAGGAAAAATATTATTCTGTCCACTAAGAGCGTGATAGCCATATTTAGTAAATGATAAAACATAACTGCACCTGCACTTCAATCTATTACTAAGCTAGATATTTTGCTGGCTTACTTGAAAGAACATTTAAAATTTAAGTTCCAGTGTTGACTTTGGTCGTAATTATTTTGACTAAAAGTTTTGAATATTTTAGTCAAACTTGTTTTGGAAGAAAAATTACTACGGAACTGCTTATTATATAGGAAGTTAACAATATTTGTGAAAGACACCTGATTCAACAGACATAGAGCATCTTAAAAGCAGCAAACTGAGAACAAAATATATGTAAATGTAATGTAAACTACCTTAAAATATATACTTGAATATTTGAGTGTTTTGAAAACACTCTCAATAATATATTCCCCTGTCATAATCAGCCAGCACTGATTAGTTTTCAAATTTAAATTCGGAGTAAGTAATACAAGAGATGAGAATAATGTAGTGAATAATAACAGAAGGAAATGAAGAAGGGTCCTAAATCCCGATAGTAACCAGTGATAGAGAACACACAAGCATTCTAACTGTATTAAAATAACGATGTATGTGTGGGGATCAAAATTGGTATTTTGTGCCATATCAATGAGCAGACGCACATCCCGAAATAAAACATTGTGTACCCCCTAGTTGCACCATATTCTGCGCCTTTAACCCCCCCCCCCCCATTTTAAGTTTCATTTTTTGACCTATTATTTTTACAGTACCAATTTTAATCCCAACACATACCTCAAATAACACTTGTCTTAGCCATTTGCACTTTGTCAAAAAGACCATGTCTTCTCGTTTTTTATGTGTGTATACATGCAATACTGAGCAAACATTTACCTTTGTGGTGTCAAATGAGTACACACATGGTGATATTTTCGTAACATGCATGTATTCATTCAGAAAACTGATTTTTGTTTCCAGTGCTGTTTGCTTGCTTGTATGCACCTAGTACCACAAAGGCAATTAAAAGCAGTAATCTGATAAATTACACATGACTTATGAACTGCAAGATTCACAGACACGTCACTGTAAAAGATTATTGTTATTTGGCGTGAGGTGTGAGAATTAAGACACTCAGGCAGCATGTTCTGTTAAACTGGTCTAACATTAGGTTCCTGATGTCCCATTTTATCAGCTACCCCAATCAAGTACTTTGCCACTTCCTCGTCATCAGGTTTTTCGGGCAGCACCCACGGCTCTTCTTTGTTTTTAATCTCTTGTCGGCATATTGGACACTGATGATGATTCACATTCCTGCAATCAACAAATAATGTCAATGAAAAAGAAACGAAGCATCAAAAAGGTCTGTATCTGTGTTGCATTTTGAATTTGCTTTTTTGATTGCCATTTAAATCCTGAAAGTCTATTTCCTCCATCTGAATAGGAATTTAAAAGTACATCAAACTTGCATTGATTTGAAAACAGTGAAATAAGAATTAAATAGGAAAAATGTTGTTTGCACACGCACATCCATTGTGGAGTACTGCTGAATACAACTCACTGTAGGATACCTGGACCTAACAATGAACTATATAAAGCACAATAATACAAGAGTTTAATAAAGAAGACATGGGTGGTAGATTTATCCTTGAGATGAATGCAATTCATTAAAATGGTAAAAAAACATACAATTGTGAAAATGAATGAGATAATAGAAGTTAAATGTTGCCTCAGTACAATAAAAGACAGAAGTTTGTTGTTATACAAGTCACACACATTCATATTTCAACAAGGACCGAAGGAATCTGTATTTAACCTTGACCATAACGTATTTGTTCTATTAGAAGTACACTGCTAAAAGAATCACACAAAATAATTTCATTTATTGTATGCAGGATCATTTTGACAAAAGCCACGCCTAAGTCATTTGCAGATGCGTGATCTTCTTGTTACTTAATAGAGCAAAAAGAGTATTACCGCACACGTCCGATTTAGTACCCAGGATACCTTGCCTACAAAATCATGTTTTTAAAGGGGATGGGCATTTAGTCAAGCACCTCACTCAGAAAGTAAATATTATTATAATATAAATATTAGGTACATACCAACAACATTTATGGTGTAAAAGTCAACAGGAATCTGCCCAGCTTATTGAGAGTGCTGGTTGCTCATTAATATTTATGAGCTAATTAATATTCATAAGGTTTCAAACACTCTTTAAATGCCCAGATTGTTTTGGCTGTTGAGTACTGTTTTTGTACAGAAGATACAAGCTACAGAAGAAATGTGTCATATCATTGTGTTATTTATTTTTTATTAAATAACAAAAACTATGAGATTTTTAAAATACAGTTCTGTTGGCTGGTTATGGTCAGATAAATGCAGACAAAGAAAATATGTCAACTTATTGCTTTATTTATTTTAGTAGAAACGTTGGTATTAGAAATACAGTGAGTGAGCTGACTGGTTGTGCTTACATTCAATAAATAGCAGAAAAAATAAAGGGGGTATTTTTTTTTTGTATTTACTTTTTTTAGTAATAGTCCAACCAGGAAAAAAGAAACATTTGCGGTAAAATCAGTTTCATTAAATTGTTGAAAATGCCTGAAAAATATTTACAAGAGTCCAGAATTTAAGTGGTTCACTGGATACAGTCTGTGATAAGACACGTGTATAAATTACTACAGCATTTTTTCATCTCAGCCCACAATTTAACAGCAGCTGAATAGTTGATGGCGATGCGCACAAGACTATCCAGACTTCTTTGACTGAGACGATTACGTGGTATTGTCTTGATTAATTTCAGCTGTGATAATGTTCTTTACGAATCTGCTGTGTGACAGGGAAGGATGAGGTAAATCTTGGCAAGTTTGGCGATGACTGGGAATGCAGCTTGCAGGATTGCGTGGAACATAACGATGGACAATAACTCCTGAATCTAACTGTGGTTATTTCAAAATTTCGTCTTCTGTATATTTTTTGAAGTTGGGACACTCGTTGACGGAGTCTACTGTTTTGTCTGACTGGTTTTCAATGAGAAAAAAATGATGATACAGCACTCGTATTTCATCATTTCTGTAGGTTAGCAAGATCAGCATTGGTGAGAATGTGTGGGTCAAAAATAATAAAGTGGGCGAGAATTCTGGTGTTTTCTTCGAGAAAGCATTGCTCGATGTTGTTGACTAAAACGGATATATACTTGCTTCTGATGTTGCGTTGAAAAAAATCAGCGTGTTTATTTATAGTGATGTCTGCATCTCAAAGCTTGTTTATAAATACTGGTAACTATTCCAAATTTTCACCATCACTGGATTCCATGGCCTATATCGATGCAATCAATGGCTTCAATGAGTTCAACTCGCTAGATTGGAAGGCTCATGAAAGCTTATTGACATTTGGGAGCAAGTTGCAAAGTAGTAACATTGTAGCACGAGCAACGAACTTCCATGATGTCATCAAGTTTTTTAAACCAACAGCCTTAGCATCACACCACTTTTCGCCATCTCTATCCAAGCTTAATAACACGCTGATAAATGTGTTTTTTAGTCTGGTCATACACATCTCAATACTCAGCCAACTTGTCGATGATGGTTTTAATTCCTTTTCGTGCAATGCAGTTTGACTGTTGTTGAAATAGTCATAAAACTGTCTCAAAATCTAGATAAACTGCTTGACGTAGGGGACTGCGTTTGCTGCCTGTGACAATGCCAATTGTAGCATGTGGGCACAACAATGAATGCCAATCTCTTTCGTTGCTAACTCTTATAGACGTTTCATCACACCGGCTCGTTTTCCCGTCATCACGGCTGCACTGTCTGTTCCAATACCAACAAGTCTGTTATAATCTAGTCCCTTTTCTTCCAAGTACGATGTAGTGTGTTGTGTTATTGTTTCAGTTTGTGTTACTCTCTGATTGTTGTTGTCATTGAGCTTCGGGGGTTCAATCATTTTTAAGAACTTGACTGTTAAATTGCCATCTGGTGTGATATATCTGCAATTTAAAGTTAATTGTTCGTTGACAATGACATCAGTTGTTTCGTCGAGCATGATCAATAAAAAAATCTGACTTCTTGAGTATGTTGATGGTTTCACCCTCAAGTACAGACAAAAGAATGCTGGTCATTTTTACTGACGTGATGATAATCTTTCACGGATTGATCAAGCTGTGTTAGGAGATTCTTCGCTTTTCTTAAAAATACAGCACTTGAAAAGCGGATGTTATGGCGTCATTGTTTACTTCCGGCTGTATAACCTCGGCAATATTTTGACTAGAAATAGAAGTCAGTTCCCGTCTCATAGCTTTGTGGTGTGCTGCCGTCTGCTCATGGTCTTTGATGCTGCCTAATCTCAGTCATTTACATGGTGTTTTATTCCATGTGTCATGCTCATTCGGCAACATATTAAACTTCTGACATAACTTGCAATACATTCCATCACCTTGGCGAAAGTACAACCCTGATTCGCGACCAGTGATCCACTCATTGCGAAAGTTCAAAGTGGAGATGATGGTTTGTCGTTACTTTCCACTCTGGATTTCTTCGGTGTCGGCACAGTATTCCCTTTAATGGAAGCAACGGTACTCTTACGCTTTGTAGAGATGATGAACTTCAGTAACGACATGCTGATTGCATAAAAGTTTCAATTAAATTGGTAACACTACATGTATGTACAACTTGCCGATTCACGACCGTCACTCAAAGTAGCCGGCGTGTTAATCACTAGCTTTGTTGATTGTAGTTTTTTTTTTTTTATTTGTTACACAACTAGCCTACACAAGTGATGGAATATCACTTGGCAGGCTTCCTGTCGCACAGTGACATACAAGTTTTGAAAACAATAGTGGGCAGATTATACACCCTCTATGGTCAGATTCGCTATTACTATAGTTGAGTTCCTGAGGGCGCTAGGCACCTCAGAAGAACCTAAATTTCCTCTTTAATTGCAAGCAGGTAGAAATGCATATAATAATTATTTCGTCTTACATACAACCAGCCCACACCCCCACCCCAAATGAAGAAAAGCTTGTTTCATCATGTGACCATTCTCAAAGTGCTACCATAAATGTTGACCATTCAAAGGCCTCCTCAGAAGAAAGATCAACTGTGACAGTGACAGTTAGGAAGTTTTCACAGCTCAGTGTGTTACAGGTAACAAAAAGAGCCTTTCACCAGGAGCATAGTAGTTGTCATTATGTTCAGTAGACGCAAAAATCAAATCCTACCAGGGTTGAACACCAAAAATGGTTAACCTGCCCAACTGTGTGTGCGTGTGCTACAGCCTCAATGGGAAGACTAAATCCACTGGCCACAATTCATTCATTATTAACTGATGCAACTTCGGGGGACCCATGATTAAA